GCCTCCCAAGTAGATGGGACTACAGGTGCCCACCACAACGCCTGGCCATTTTTTGGTTGCAGCCATCATTGTAGTTTGGAGGGTCCGGTCTGGGGATTCGAACCTGCCACCTTAGGTGTATGTGGCTGGCGCCTTAGCCACTTGAGCCACAGGCGCCGAGCCTACTATCCTTTTTTTAAGATACCACTTTTTACCTTGTTTTTCTTGCCATCCACTTCAAACACAGAGATCGAGCCTTTGCGATATATCTCATCACCAGGTGGGTGTTTCCACACACATTTGGCCTGCAAGAGAATGAAATAACACGTTGGGGGAAATCAAAGCTGTCTAACAAGACTCTTCTTCAAAAGGGAAAAGAAATCAAAGGTCAAACTTGGTTAACTGAGCTGCATGACAGTTGGACAACTTGAGAACATAAAAACACAGATTTTTTTTCCCCCAGTTAAAACAAATAAAGGCTTCCAAAGTCACTGCAATATATTTATGACATTTTTATAGCAGTTTGGCACAAGTTTTCTGGATTACATTCTGGCACTGTTTCAGCCCAAGAGATTAAAATTATCCACTACGTAAAAGACAGATAAATAAGAATACCCTTCTTTATTATAAAATGCCTCATGCCAACAGGAAATTCTTAAGCAGCTTATTTCCAGCAGCTTAGAGTTACTAAGTACTTTACTCTCACCTTTACCAGTAACTTTTCATTACCACCTAACCATTACGGTCTTCTTTTGTTCAAATCAGAACATCTGACCTGTAATCATAAAAACTATGCACTACAACTTGCCCCCTCCATGTGTTCTCTGTGTTATATAAGAAATGAGAGAAAGTCCTTCTGTGGTTTAAAAAAAAAAAAAAAGTCAAGTTAGCCTGACTGAGCAGGAAGCTAGGAGCACTTGGCCACAAGGTGGCACAAGGAACTCCCTCCTTCCTCACCCTCCATTGCTAACAGGATTGCTAATAAGTTTTGATGCAGTCAGCCTACCACTGCTGTCAATGTGTGTGAATTCTTTTTTTTTTGAGACAAAGCCTCAAGCTGTGACCTGGGTAGAGTGCTGTGACATCACAGCTCACAGCAACCTTCAACTCCTGGGCTTAAGTGATTCTCTTGCCTCAGCCTTCCAAGCAACTGGGACTACAGGCACCCAGCACAATGCCTGGCTATTTTTTGGTTGTAGTTGTCATTGTTGTTTGGCAGGCCAGGGCTGGATTTGAACCCTCCAGCTCTGGTGTATGTGGCTGGTGCTTTAGCCGCTTGAGATACAGGTGCCAAGCCAATGTGTGAATTCTTGAAAGGTTTCAGTACATGTTTTAAAGGTGTATATGGAGCACTTTCTATTAAGCAATTATCTCTCTCTCTCTCTTTTTTTTTTTTTTTTTTTAAAGAAAACCACTTTGGAGATAATCTATTAAGCAATTTTATTGTGACTCTTTTTTGTCAACTCAAGAATCATGTTCCAATTTTGTCATGCGTAAACCCAATCATTTATGAACTAGAACTCCTCCAAGAAAGCTCTACCTATCTCTCCTCCAGCCACGTAACATGACAGAAGGGAAAACAGCCAAGAAAAAAAGGTGTGCTATTCTTCACACAGCCCCTGCTGCTGTCAAGAAGCAGGAGGCCAAGAAGGTGGTAAAGGAGGCCTTTTTGAGAAAAGGCCAAAGGACTCTGGCATTACATAAGACATCCAGCCCAAAAGGGACTTTACCCATTTTGCCAAATGGCCTTGCCACATCTGGTGGCAGTGGCAAAGAGATATTCTCTCCAAGCAGCGGAAAGTGCCCCCTGTGATTCACCAGTTTCCCAGGCTTTGGACTGCCAAACAGCTTCTCAGCTGCCTAAAGCTGGTCCACAAGTACAGACCAGAGACAAAGAGAAGAAGCAGTGACTGTTGGCCCAGGCTGAGAAAAAAGAAAGCTGCTGGCAAAGTGGATGTCCCCACTAAGAGATCACCTGTCCTGCAAGCAGGGGTTAACACTGTCACCACCCCGGTGGAGAATGAGGAGGTTCAGGTGGTGGTGCTCACAAAGAACATGGATGCCATCCAGCTGGCTGTCTTCCTGCCTGCCCTGTGTCAGATGACGGGGTCCCTTACTACATTATCAAGGGGAAGGTCAGATTGGGCCTCTAGTCCACAGGAATACCTGCACAACTATCACCTACATGCAGGTTAACTCAGTAGACAAAGGAGCTCCGGCTAAGCTGGTGAAAGCTATCAGGACCAATTACAATGACAGATATGATGAAATCTGCCATCACTGGGGAGGCAATTTTCTAGGTCTGAAAATTGTGGTTCACACTGCCAAGCTAAAAAAGGCAAGGGCTGAAGAACTTGCTACTTAACTGGGTTAAATGTACACTGTTGAGTTTTCTATATGTACAAATAATAAAAATTCTCCTTAAAAAAAAAAAAGGAAGAAAGAAAACTCCGCCAGTTTATTCCTATTTCTACCCCTTTATTCATGTGGGCTCTGTCCAACAATAACCAAACTAATAAAACAATTATGTGTTTAGAAATAGAAGTCAAGCCAAAGAAAGATCGCTTTAGTGATTTTACTTGAAGCAATGAAAATCAGAATAGGCATAGTTTAAAACAAGTTTGTAATTCCTGAAATCTGAGTTTTATATCATGTGATACAGGACATCCTCAAATATTCAGAATATTTATTTGATCCTCAGATTTATCTAGATCCTTTGTTTGCTCCCTCTACTAGTATTTCTTGCCCTTTTGGTTCTTTCATAGCTTAGTGTCACTAAATAACCAGAAACAAAAAGGAGGGTATGTATGGCAAGCAGTTCATATTAATAAAAATAACAGTTTTACTTTCAAATAGCAAATTCCTACTTTAGTTTATCTCCATGTGTGCCAGTGTGCAGTCCGTATGACACCATTATTTCTCATGCCTTGGAGTATCCATCCGTCCTCATCCATCACCCCCCCCCCCCCGCTCAATTAGTCCATCCCAACCCAAGTTAACTGTGCTAGAGTCTGGAAGGTTTAAATCCAAATAGCAGTTCTGGGACACAAAGCTTTAGATTACATGTGCTCCAGAGCTTTAATAAAAAAAAAAGAAAGAAAAAAACCAAAAGTATCACCAAACTGGGGAAAAGAGTGTGACAGCCATTACAGGATATCTGGGCTGAAAATGGAAATAAAGATGAAAGAGGGAAGAAAAGACACCCTACAAGGCCTTCAAGACAAAATTACGTTGTGACTATAGAAATGACGTGGTCTGACAGGCTAATCTAATCTCTAACCATCCCCTCACCCCCACCCTTGTTCCATGGCAGAAACTCCCTTTGACACAAGACTTCAACAACCAGGAGAAGAAATATGGCTTAAAGATGCAAAAAATTTAGTAAACAAGTAAACACATTTGTCAACAAAAATCAGATTCAAGTTTTTTTTTTTTTGTACAGACAGAGTCTTACTTTATCCCCCTCAGTAGAGTGCTGTGGCATCAAACAGCTCACAGCATCCTCCAACTCCCAGGCTTAGGCGATTCTCTTGCCTCAGCCTCCTGAGTAGCTGGGACTATAGGCGCCCGGCACAACGCCCGACGCCTATAGTGTTGTTGTTGCAGTTTGGCCAGGGTCAGGTCTGAACCTACCAACCTCGGTATATGGGGCTGGTTCCCTATTCACTGAGCCACAGACGCTGCCCCATATTCAAGTTTTTATTCCTTTTTTTTT